CCCCACCTGGAACGGTGGCTACGGTCTCTGTCGATGGCGCATTGTCATTAATAGTTGACATTTGAAGGAATTAAGTCGGAACCGTAAGAACTCGAACAGGTGTAGATCGGAACTTGAAATGGTAAGGCTTCAAGTACAGCCTGTCACGCTGACTATTGGACAAGGCTGTATGCTCTTCTGCGTGAAGGCAGAATGACTTCACCAGGAGAGCAGCAAGAACGAAGTCACCACTGCGAACCAGTTGTACGACAGTACCACAGAACCAGCCTTAGAAGCTCCGGTCGCTTCGCTCCGTCGCGTCTAAGCCAACAAAACGCTATTGTGGAGGAACGCGCGTTTTTGTGGGTAGGAATGCATGTGTTTTGTCTTCTCCCACTTGTGGTGGTGTAAGTTGTTTTGAGCCACACTACCCTGTGGCGCGCAAGTGAGATTTTTGTGCGCATGCAGCTGCAGCTGCGTGTGTGCATGTGCATGCGTTCGAACTGTATATTCGTTGCCGACCCGTGGGTTTCTCTCTGCCCCGACATCGCCCTGTGGCGCCCTGCTTCCCGTATGCTAGTTTTAGCACGTGTGGAACAACTTAGGGCAGAACGATAGGTGTGACGGGAGCGACAAGCAAAGCTGTCGTGCTCAAATGGAGCGCGCAAATGGATGTTCGGCGACATGCGAACGCCACACAAGGAACTCCACAGACTAAAGCGGTGATGCGCATATAGACGTGTACATGATTTGAGGACATGACCTGGTGTATGGTCCCTTTCCTCTAAGCGGCCGCACAGCCACGGGCGGCTAATGTCCGGACACACCATCGAACAACAACCGCCTGGCAAACTGTGTTTCATCAAGCAACACAGCATATCAAAGTGCGGCATCCTCGATGTTCACTCGAGTACAACATATACAATGTCGAAAAAGCCGACAACAACTCAGAGCGGCACCGACAACGGCTCATACAACGGCTCGTACAACCACTCCAACCAGCGAACAAACATTCCAAATCGCGACGCGACGGCATCTCACGCAACTGTAATTTCATGAACAACGGAACCGAAAAAAAGCTTGTCCATGCTTTGCTTCGCATTCCGCCTGCCATTTCCATGGCTTCAGATCCCAACGCAGCCATCACAAAAGAAGCGATCTTGCGACGAAGTGTGTCAACACATGCGCGGCGAACAAATCTGTAGCACCAGGCGTCAAAAAGTTGTGAAGGCAGCGCGCACGTTCGTTGCTCCGTGTGTATGTGCGCGTTGTCCGCCGCCGTGTACACGAGCTCCGCACCGCACCCATACATGAATTCCACGCAATGCCCCAATCGCTGGCGGTGACAGCAACGTGGGCCCGTCCAATACCTGTGTTGGCAGCGACAGGAGCGAGAGCATACATATGTGAGGTGAGGGGAGCCTGCTGGCAACACAACAAATAGGATGCCATAGCATATGTCGTGGGGCCACCGTCAGGGGAAGGGTAAACAACGAAGATGGAAAGGGAGGTGAAGCAGGTTGGTTAGGAGGGCGGGTTTCAGGGTATCACATAGGCCCCCTGCCGACACATTCGGTCGAACGTCACCATGGCCGCAGTCCAGGGACTGCAAAACGAGGGGGGAAAGGGGGAAAACACGGCGGGGCGGATTGGTTAGGAGGGCGTGCTTCAGGGCATGACGGGGGGCCCCTGCAACCTAGCCGACACATTCGGTTAAACGTCATCATGGCCACAGCCCGGGGAATGCAAAACAAGGGGGGAAGGGGAAAAGCGTGGCAGGGCAGATTGGTTAGGAGAGCGTGTTTCAGGGCAAGGCAGGGGCCCTCCTCAACCTAGCCGACGCATTTGGTCGACGCAACTCTTGGGGGGCGGCGGCAGCTTTTTTTGTGTGTTCGGTCTTGCAGAGCCGGGTGTCGGTAGCTGCACCTTGCGGCTGTACTGCAGGCTGGCTGCAACCCGGTCGGTCATGATCGTGCCATCGAAGCGACTGGGATTGGCAGCACGCCAATTACATGGTGGGTACAGTTAGGCCTTAAGTTCTTTCGATTATTTTATGTGTGGAATCAGTCGTGGTGGTCTTTGTCGGTTGACCATGCCTGCAAGGGCATCCGGCGCCTGATGGTGGGTTTGGAACCTTGTGTGCAAAAGAAGAGATGCTGGGTGGCTTCTCTCAACCATTCCTGAAGTGATGTGATGGTGATAAAAATGCAAAGGATTGTGCGTGACCACGCATTGCAAGCCTGATGAACAGAGCTGTTTGACCGAATGCGCCGCATGGGTGGCCTCCGGCAAAGATTACACCATCTCTGGACTCGGAATACATACTTCTTGGCAGGCAGATAGCGAAACAAAGTGGTTTTTGCACCTCGCAACTCGGTCGTGGCAAGAGTCACAACTCGCTGAAATGGATTCTGCACCACTGAGCCTTGGATTTTCTTCAGGCACTGTTCAATATCAGCAGGCAGCGAGCTCTTTCACTCTGTTCGAGTGAGCGCTAGCTTACACACACGGCTCTTGAGCGCATGAAACACATTCTCTATGGGATTCAGTTCTGGCATGTATGGTGGCATGAAGCAAAACTCGGGGAGTTGGTCTTTGCAGGGCTCAGTGTCTGCATGTAGATTGACAATGTGGATGGATACATTGTCAAGAAGCATCAGACACGAACTGTCAAGCTTCAGAGACTTCACAAACCCCTTAAAATCAAGTTTCTTAATGCATCCCACTTTGAGCATGGATCCCACAACAGAACCATGGCTATCAACGGCCAGGAGAAGCGAGTGATGTGTCCAGCTTCCTGCGTGTGTCATAATAATGTGTTGGCCCTTGGGTGCCCATCCATACAAAGGCACCAGCCGCTCACTGAATGTGCACTCATCAATACTGACAATTCTTCTGCCAGTCTCGGCAGCCTTGACGATTCTGCAGCAGCACTTTCGCTTCCATGCACACGTGTCACTTTTGGCCACACCTCAGTGTCAGATTCTCTTGTGTGAATACCGAATCAGATCCAGAGCCTGCCGTATCGTGTCACTACATGCTCCAACACCAAGCGTCTGCAACTGATGCCTGCATTCTTCAAGTGTTGTGCACGGCTTGGCTTGGAGCATGGCCCTTATCAGGGTCTTAATGCGAAATGCTTTGTTCTTGTGGGTGTGCAAGAGGTGGCGCAAACTCGTGCTGCCAGCACCAAAGCTTGACTCGTGAAACATCAAGTTTCTTTGCAGCTTTGGCAGGCCCTAAATGAGTGGACAGCTCAAGTGTTTGTGAGCGAAACAGAAGCAAATACATATCATTCCAAGACAAAACAAATCGGAGGGGCAATGTTGCATTTCCTACTTCTTGCACCTTAGCGTGCCTCACCATTTTACTCCACATGCCACCCATCCACACCATCTCCCATCTCCCATCATCCATTCTCTCACCAAACTATTGGAAGTGGATAGTCACCGTCTCGTTGAGGTAGTCCACCTGGAGCAGGCACTTGTTGCGCTTCATGAAGTCCACCCCAAGAATGGGGATATCCTGGTGATTGCTGTGCTCACCATGGTCGCAAAGCTGCACTTGTGTGCGGCGGCAGCCTTTGAGGTTCACCATGGCGGCCACGGACACAGAGTTGCAACCAAGTGCAGTGAACATGCTCGGGCTGAACTCTGTGACAGGTGCGCCGGTGTCGACGAGCAGGAACACGTTGATGATATTGCCACATATCTGCACCGGCATGCAGACGAGTGGCCGGTTCACCGGACCCCAGAGGATGCCCTCGATTTGCTTGACTGGTTCTATGCTGGGAGCCTCGGACAAGTAGGGCACCCCGAGCAGTGCGGAGACCTCATGGATCAGGTTACTCTCCTTCAGGTCAAGGAGCAAGCTCTGTGCTGGCAGCAGCGACTGGGGCACAGGCTCGCTGGAGATATCGTAAGGGCCACCTCCGAACATTCCTCGCTGAATCTCCACCAGAGGAATGATGGCGGCGTCTAGACGAGACAGCAGCGGGTCCTTGTCTGGCAGTATTGATCGCTGATTTGTCAGCTGCTGCAGGTTCCCCTCAAATGACTTGTTGGATCTCAGCCCATGGTGCACTTCCGCCCGTAGCAGGTTGATAGCGATGAGAGCACGGGATGCTCTAAAGGCAATTGGCGACTCTGTGTGCACTACCAGGGACTCCAGCGTCATTTTCGTGGGCGACTCCATGTTTTGGGTTAGTACGTCCCGCCTTGGACACTGCTGCCGGGTCCCACTCGGGTGGCCAGGGTGGACCGCTAACACCGTCAGCTTCCATGAGAGGTAGCAGCAGGTGGTGCTGGCGTTCTGCAGAAGGCAGGATGAGAAACGATACACAGGACGATTAATGTTGAGAGTCCCATGATTCCTGGCAGAAGATTCATCTCAAGCACCTGCAGCAATGCTGGTTCACCCGCTTTGCATGATGCAACCCCACTTCCGTGCCCCACCACCCCGGTGCGTACCTTATGGCTTGACCACCTTCCAGAGACCCGCGGTGATGGTCCTGAGTGGGCTCTCCAGTGTGACGCTCAGGAGCATCCCCGCCAACAGCAGAAAAAGGTAAAGCTGCAGCTCCTTGATGTCCTCCTTCAGCACCTTGATGTCCTCCTTAGTTGCAACTGCTGGACTTTGAAGGGATGAAATTCGTGAGGATGGCATCAACGTGCACGTCGGGAATTCCAGCCGAGATTAACTTTGTTCACGTTTCCAGCACAGGTGCCACGGCATCTGGTGGCCGCCAGGCCGCTCAGGCTCATGCCTTGAGCATGATGCCCTTCTGATGCTGCAGCTGTTCATGAGCGATGACGACACAGCGGGGAGCTGCTATGCTGCGAGTCAGGGTAGCAGGGTAGCAGGGCTTCATAGTCTTTGTTGTAGGCATAAGAAGGGTATCTTCTGGTATGGACACCCACGCCGACACCTGGCTCAGACAAGACACCAC